AACACTGTTCTTTTGGATGCTATTAGTTGCAGAATACCATTAGTTAGTGACATACCAACCATAATATTTGGAGCAGATGTCACTCACCCAGAAAATGGAGAAGACTCTAGCCCCTCAATAGCAGCTGTATGGTTCTTTTTCCTAGTTTATTTTCTTTAATATTGCTTTCATCCTTGTGCTAGTAGTTGGACACAGCTTTATGAAATATACTGGTTGTTTAGGTAGTAGCATCACAAGACTGGCCTGAAGTGACAAAATATGCTGGACTAGTTTGTGCTCAAGCTCATAGACAGGAACTCATACAAGACTTGTACAAAACATGGCAGGATCCTGTACGTGGCACAGTTAGTGGTGGCATGATCAGGTATACAGATGCTAGTTCCCCTAGAGCTGTACTGCTCTTTCCCATGAAGTTGTATGTATTTTCATTTCTAATTACAACTTCTTGTGTAGGGATCTTCTTGTATCTTTTAGGAAGGCAACAGGGCAGAAGCCGCTGAGAATCATATTTTACAGGTTTGTGATGCGGGATTTGTTGCTAAATATTTTTAGTATTGTATTCCATTCCTGGATGCCATACCTGCATTGGAATTCAACTTGAGGTAGAAATCTCATTCCCAAAGTTATAAAAGGCCAAGAAGTGTTGTCAAGGTTTTTATGTATTTTATCCAAGCAAAGCTGTTAGCTAGCATGGGACTCATGCATCTGTAAACTCTGGCATGCTTCAGTAGTACATGGGTGCTTGCTTTACCAGTGTTTTGTATTGTGCAAGCCTTGCGTGCACTTAAGTCCTGCATTTAAACTAGTTAGGTGGGTTGGATCCATTGAACATCCATATGTGTGCTTTGTAGACCCTTTTTGCCTCGTACTAATTGGTAAATAATTTGATCAGGGATGGTGTAAGTGAAGGGCAATTTTATCAAGTTCTGCTGTATGAGCTAGACGCAATCAGGAAGGTGAGCATTAATATATTTTCTTTTCTGATTACTGTTATCAATCAGAAACAAATTTGGAGACATTTCTGGTTCTTATTAAGAATTTATTCTAGGCCTGTGCTTCTCTGGAGCCAAACTATCAACCACCGGTGACTTTCATTGTTGTACAAAAGCGACACCACACTCGATTGTTTGCTAATAATCACAGGGACCGAAGCAGCACAGACAAGAGTGGAAACATTTTGCCCGGTAAAAGATTATGCCTCTTTTACAATTTGCTCATTCAGGATTCACAGGCATTGCTCAACTTGAGCATCATTAATTGTTCTAATGATGTTGCATTTTGTTTTTTCAGGCACTGTTGTTGATTCTAAAATCTGTCATCCAACAGAATTTGATTTTTATCTTTGCAGCCATGCTGGTATTCAGGTAGAACATTAATGTTCTTGATCTCTTTTCAGTTACGGGAAGTTGGAGATTCATATATATTGACTTTGATTTTACTGTTGCTTTAAATTTTGTGTTTATATATGTTAACTACGAATGATGATGATATATATATTGACTTCATGTGGGTTAACTAGGGGATGTTTGGAAGAAGTTTCTGAGTAATAAGCTTTGTAAGAAAGAACAAAAAGGTGAAATGTTAAGTAAAATGGATCCATTTTCTTAATTTGATTCTTGAATCACTATACTGTCTGTGTACTCTGAACTCATACATATCCAATCAACAGGTGTGTACTTTGAACTCTGAACTCAGCAAGATCTGTGTCTGAGATCCTCTGCAAAGCTGTAATGCCTGTAGGATTTGAGATTTGAAGAAGGCTAATAGAGTCTTGAAGTTGTGACCTTGACATTGTTGGTGTTCATAGCTTGTTATACTTTTGTCACAAGGATGTAGTTGTGACCTTGACGTTGTTGGTGTTCATAGCTAGTTATACTTTTCTCACAAGGATGCATTAGAAATTTGTTTTTACGTTATGGCATATCATATAAACATGATACTATGCTATAAATTATCATCTCATTCTTCATTGATATAACTTTAGAATTAATTTTATCTTCTTCATTAATATGGCAGGGGACAAGTCGGCCTGCACACTACCATGTTCTTTGGGATGAGAACAATTTTACTGCAGATGGAATACAGTCTCTAACAAACAACCTTTGTTACACATACGCAAGGTGCACACGCTCTGTCTCTGTTGGTAAGTGAGGTTTTTTCATATGTTCTTAGTATCTTTGCAACCGAAGCTACTTTCATTCTCCTGAAAGACAATGAAACCAAGGCTGTTAGGACCCTGAAAATTTCATTTCAGTTCAAATTGCAGATTTCTCTTTTTTAAAGTAAGTGGGAATCTCATATTGAACTTAGAAAACAAGGATGCGGTGAGATTTTTTATTTGGTATACAGAGCCTGGAAATTAAGAAGTTTTTGCTTTCTTTACGTCTAGCCTCTTTATTAAAGCAAGAGTAGAAATATCTTAGTTGTAATGTATTTCATCACACAATCATGAGGGCTTTATAGCCAATTGTTTGATTACTAGCAACTTAATTTGGTGATTTGCGGTTTTGGTTGCAGTTCCTCCTGCATATTATGCTCATTTAGCTGCATTCCGTGCCCGGTTCTACATGGAACCAGAGATGCAAGAGAATGCCTCAACAGGTGGTGGTGCCGGTCACACAAAAAGTACAAGGGCAGCTGGAGAATCCGGGGTGCGGCCATTGCCGGCCCTGAAGGAGAATGTGAAGAGAGTTATGTTCTATTGTTAGAATGGAGAGATGTTGATGGTAATCAAGTGAGGTGGGAGATGCAGCAATCATGAATAGGTTTCCAGTTCTTAATTTTCCTTGTATAGTTGTAAGATTAACGCATGATTGCAAGGTCTTCCAATTTAGGTAGTGATAAAATGTCCAAAACATGGGGAGGCATGACCTTTGCTCTTGGCCCCTGGAGTTCCTGCCCTTCATGGATAGAATGTCAAACTAGGCTATGTAAAGAAATGTTTATTTAGAAGCAATCTAAATTTAGGAAATTTTGGCCAAGACCTATATATGATCACGAAGTTGTCCCCTCTATTTCCTTTCCCCTACTACACAACCTACCTTCTCTCAGATATATGCTGAACCTTTGAAGTATGATTCAACTCTCAGGATATAATTTTATCCAAAGCTGGTGTTAAAACTTTTCGTGCCTTGATTAGAATCTCTAATTTCAGAGCGAACGTCATTCAAAATGCTGGTCATCACTGTGGCATATCTTCGGGAATCAGAAAAGTGGAATATGTCAGTTGTCCAGCGGGGCACTGCCAATAGTCTTCGAGGAGTTGTATTACCTATATAAAATTTTAAGTTATATTAACAGTGCAACTAGGAACTCGGATGCACCCAGATGATTTGGGACCGCAAAATGGGTTACTGACTCACTGTTTGATGTCTAGTCAGTGCAATATTTGGACGGTAGAGATAAAGAGAATCCGATTTTTCTTTTGTGAAAGCTTAGAGGGCTGAGCTGGACCTTGCTGCCATCACCCACTTCCACTCTCACACATGAGAGCACGTGTTTGAGCACACTTCTGCAATGGGCCAAGCTCTTTTTTATGTCAACCAAAGCTTAAACTATGGCTTTAAGCTGGATTTTCATGCTATCATCCTGGACGGGATTTCAGCTGGTAGAACCAGCTGCAAAGGTAGAAGCCCAAGTTTTGAGTGTTTCATGCACCCAAAGAGGCCCAAATTCTGATTGTTTATGTACCAAAAGAAGCCCTGCTGGCTATGGCCAAGGCTAGAGATGAAACTTGATGAAACCGTATCTGGCAATAAGTATAGATTGATATTGTGTTTTAATGTATTAATGATGGATTAATAGGCAGGTCATATTTCTGCTACTGTTTTTAAGTAAGAATGCAATGGTGTTTTTGCACTTTGTTTGGTAGCGAAAAGCTATATATATATATATATATGTAATATAGCTGGAGAAACCCTGTTCTGTATTAGGTTTGAGGGTCTGGAGTTGCCCCCGTGTTTTTGGGTAAGGGATAAATGTATGTTCAGCTCTTTAATCTGATTTGGAGAATAGTGAATTCAGAGCTCTTGGAAGCAGTTAGGCAGGTGATTCTCAATGCTAGTGTTTTGTCCTTTTTTTCTTGGATGAAATTAGTTGTGCATCCTCTGGGCTTTAGCATGACTTTCTGGGTAGCCTGCTCCTCTACGTTTCGATTGCCCAGAGCAGCAGCGGTCTGATTGACGCTTAACATTTCTCCAACATCTTTCGTCAAGGCGAAGTTACTGCTTCCAAGATTGACTTTTACTAGAAACAAAAACACTCTTTTTAAGAATATTGCACTTTTATTTCTTCTTTTCATGTATTTAAATATAAATGCAAACACTAAACACTTATATAACCTACCTAGTTGCTATCAGTCTAGCCAAGAGTTTAAAGGTTCATGATTCAAAATCCTCCTGGATTTTGGTCAATTGTTTAATAATAATAATAATAATAAAAACAAAAGGTCTCTCACTGTCTCGATCTCTCTACATAAATGATAAAACACATTTAGATGGTATTAATGAGATAAAGAAAATAAGTTGAGTAAGAAGACATTTTCTTTTGTACTGTCCCAGTGATGTTTCGAGGACATCAACCCAACTTGGAGTTTTGATTTGTGTCTTCACTTCCCTGCAAGGGAAATTAAGCGATGCTTATATTTATTCATCATTCATTGAAGTTCATTTGGAACCAACTCCACATGCAATAATTAGGTACTTTGTCGCTCAATTTTAATCTAACTTGCTGTATCCATGTACCCAAAATGGAAAAAACATTCAAGGAGCACATATATAGTACAGTTTTTGCATATGGAAAAAATGATTCCTCATGTCCAACAAACAGAACAGATTCACCCCATACAATGACTACATGACAGAATTTTGCACTTTCACTTGACAAAAGAAAGTTCTGTCAACATAATTGATATAAGAACATGGACATGCATGTGCATGAGATGTTACATGAAAGTAGCAAGCACTGAAAGAAAGTACTCCTCAACATTGTAAGCAATAACATCACAATCACATCAAATTAAAATTAGTAGCTTCTCTTACGAATCCAACCTCTGAGGTTTTTGTTTTCACTTTGATGTAATTTTTTCTTCTCTCTTTTAGGTGTACATGCATTGTTTACTGCAGCAACTCGTAAGTAAGAGCGTGACAATCAAAGAAAAGGATTTGCACTTCTGTTCAATCCTTATGTTGCCCCAAGGGAAACCATCCTTGCTTTTCCTCCTGAGATCCAAACAGACCCTAGGTAAAAGCATCAGTTCAATTTCTCACATATAGCTGTCATAGCTAAAGACCTTAAAAGAGAAGTTAAGATCTGATAAACTGTGAGGAGCAAAAATTATGTATTAGGGAGATAACGTAAAAGCATTCAGGGTGAAGGAAACTGAATTACCTAGCTACTACAACAGCTAGCCCGGGCCCCCCACCTAGATACACAGGCAGCCCACTTCTTTAGAGAATGAATTACTTGACCCATCTTTGATCCCCTTAAAGAAGACAGTAACTAAAATGATGCCAAAGATCTAGCTTTATGGAGACTAATTCCCAAGAGCATCTTCAAATGGAATGTAAGGAGTACTTGTCAATGAATCCTCACTTAGTCTTTCTTCATGCATGATAGCGGACATATGGAAAAACTCTGGAAAGAGTAGGAGAAATCAAAACTAGTAACATATCTGACTACTTTGGTACTTATGGAAAAATGAGAGCTGCATGGAATCTTGTCTACATAAAGCTTACCACCAAAACAGAAGGGCCAAAGTCCAGCAAGAAAAGATAGAAGGAAAGAAAGCAACCCTCAGGGAGAGAGAGAGAGAGAGAGAAGAGACAACATTTTCTCATGAAAACTGAAAGGAGCTTCACATGATATTGATCATAGCCTCATAGTTTTTAGAATAAACATCAGCAGTTCTTAATCAAACTCTCCTGTATTAAGGTTTAAAAAAAATTCACAGGGTTTTTAGCAGATCAATTTAGACAGAAAGTGCAGCCGAAACATGACTATTTGCATTATGTTTATAAGCTGAAATGAGAGAATAAATTGTAATTTAGAGAGATACGTTTCATTTTCTCTACCGTTAAATAAACTAAGCACTTCAAAATTGATCTTCTGTTTGTTTCATGGCAAGCATTGGCGACAGGTTTCATTTTTGTGCTCCCAAGAAAATGTTCTTATCTTGATTATTTAGACTTTGAAGGTGTACAAGTTGCACTAAGATCAAGAAGCAAAAAGTGTCTCACAAGGATAGTACATTCATGCTTCTGTTACACCAGACATAAGCAGCTATAAGCCGTAAAAGATAAGATATGTAGTGGAATATTAGCTAGATTCACAAGTTAAGTTAAAATTTCTTCACACAAAACAAGTTTTCTTGATGTTGCTATATAGTCATCTATCATATTCCCTATATCTCAAAAATTCTCCACTCCTGTTGCATCAAGACTTCAATGACACATGTTCAGCAAACTTCAGAAAAAAAACATGCTGCTGAGTTCCTATATCATCTTTCTCTGTGTTGGACATAATGTGATGAACTTGTAAAAGAACAGAAAGATGTACTCTCTCTGTCTCTCTTTAATTCACCCCTCTTCTTTTCTTCCTTCTCACTCATGATTTACAAAATCCTGGGAGTTGAATAAGCTAGATCCAAAGCAGCTAAATATCATTTAATGAACTAAAGATAAAGCTCATGGAATTCGTTCAAGAATACAAGAGATGGAAATGCAGTTTCAGTCACAACTTTCAAACCTTCACAGGGCATGTGAATTAAGGTCACTTCTCTCTCTCCGGTTTTGTAATCCTGCTGTAGTTGGATTATGAAAGAAACCCCACTTCAAAAACAAGCCCTAGCTACATCATATGGCAGATTAAATTCCAAATCAGTAGCAAAGCGAAGAATCTGGGAGTCCTAAAACAAATATATAAAAGCATGTTCATCAAAACCTTGAAAGTTCAATAGAATCATAACGAAATTGAGCTACAACCATATATATGTCATGAGAAACCCTAAACAAAGAGCATATTATACAGAGGAAATAACCAATAGATACACTGATATCAAAATCCATTAAAGGGGAACTGTACGGTAGTTTAAGGACAATACCCGAGGCTCAATCACCAAAGCAGTAGCAAGGGATCTTGATATCATCAAAACTGCACCGAGACACAAAAATTCCTGACACATACAACATTAGCAAACCTGAAAACTGTTAGCATTTTCCGGTGTAAAAGTTTCACATGACATGGTGAAAGAAGGAAGAAAAAATCTATACACTAGCATATATACGAAGCAAAAGTATTCAAGTGAATATATCGATAGATGAAGGAAATTAACCCCAGAAATCCAGATAAGCCTGAATTTGCACAAAGAGGTTCAGATGATGACAGACGCTTCCAGGGATTGAAGAAAACAAGAATGGTGGTGTTTGCAGAAAAGAAGGGTGTGGCAATTAGGGTTTCATTTTGAGAGAAATTAGGGTTTTTTCTTTCTTGGGATTGTGCAAGCAGCAACAGGTGAAACTGCCATATGATCTGATCTTTCCTTGATAAAAAGAAGGAAAATTAAGATCATGCTGGCAGCTTCAACTGATGGTGGAGCACCATAAGAAAATGTGTACACTCTCCTTAAACAAGGACCAAAAAGAAAAAACAATTCAACTGGAAAAAAAAAAAAAACACCATAGAAGACCATGCTATACACTAAAGGGAGAGCCTAGAGCATTTGGTAGATGCTAGGCTCCATGCTGAGAAGAGAGGATAAAGGGGGGTCTTAAATAGAAGAAGAGGGAGAGGACTGTGGGGGATATTATCATATATTTAATTTTATTTTCTGATGATGGAATATAGAAAACTCTCTGAAAAGCTACAGGGTGCCCCAAAAAATTGATAAAATTGATACAAAAACAAAACAAAAGATGTAAAAAAAATAAAAAAAAGAGTGGTCCCAAGTGATGCCAATTGAATATTGTCACGCCAAGACTACCACCATGCAGTTTGCAGACAGGTTAGTGAGTGTTTCTATATATATTTGTTAAGAGCATTAATAACTTTTAGGTTGGGCCTGAGGGGCTGTGGGACCTTTTAACCTCTTTCTCTCTTTCTCTTTTCCTTTGCTTCTCTCTCTCTCTCTATATCTGTAACTGTGAGAAGGAAAGGATCGGCCATGAGCCAAAAAAGAGAGAGATGTAAGCGCTAGTAGTATCAATGGGGGACCAGGGATATTTGCATGGCTTCATTCAAAATTAAACAAGGAAAGGAAAGAGCATCTCTACCCAGAGAAATAAAATTATGTACTATCCCCTCACTCTCACTCTCACTCTCACTCTCTCCCTCTCTTCTCCTTCATTAATTTTACTTTTGTAATTATATGAAAGTGCATTTAATCCAATTCCCTTATAAGCATCTTCTTTTTTGTTCACAGGTGATACCCTCTTTCTTGCAAAACTTGCCATTTGTTGGATAGTTGCTAAACCTGCATCAGATTGGTGCCAGCTGCAAAATACTACTACTACTACTTCCACTTTATATATAAATAAATATATATATATATAGCTTTGTTTTTGAAAATTTTGATTCAGACAATGATGAAAATGACTATGATGTTATGAAAAAGTTGTTGCTTTAGAAATTTCTTATCCCTTTTGGTTATGTGCCCTAGCTCTATAGGTGTGATAATGGAACCAACATATATATATATATATATATATATGTGTGTGTGTGTGTGTGTGAAAGTCACCATCTCTAGAATAAAGCCTTGCATTATGAAGTAGAAAATGAGATTGGTTTAATTGGTATAAGTTATGAGGTTATGATTAATAAAATGTTTAATGTTCTAAATACCCGATGAGATTTGCCCAACTTTTTTGAGATTTTGTATGTTGATTCCGTTATGGAATACCCTTTTCTATTCAATACAAATTAATTATACTATTATTATTTAAAATAAATTTTCTTGCCATTAAGAACATATTCCTTTGGTTGTTATATTCCTCAAACAATCATAATCAAGTTCTCTGAATGAGAATTGCAGTGGGCCAATCAAGACTTTACACTTCTGAAACCCCTACAATTATCACAATGTAGGCCTAAGGTTACCCTAGCTTCCTCTAGGGTTTATGGCTAATATTCTCCCAATCTTCATATCCTAGAAAATGAAACGGCAATTGTGTGAATATTATCAAGAACCCATCTCTTTAACACTTAGAGTTTAATGTCTATCATTATTAATCACTTATCAAATAAATATCATTCTTACTACATGAAAATTTAATTTATTAAGCTTTGAAACCAAAGATGAGGAGAAAAACTTATATCATCAATAATCAAGTTTCTTTTCTTTCTTCTTTTGGCAACAAAGTTGATTACATGAACCATGTTCATAAGATCTAGCTACTATGCATAGACATTTCTACTTTCATTGTCCAATTCCTCTCTCTCATGTGAATGCATGTTGGACACTAGCTATATATAGTATGGAGCATTTCCCATATTAGGAATTATGTCATGATCTTTTACCCATTATAAAAAGTATATATATCTATAACATACATGCATCCATGTATATATGAATGATGATGATGATGAACATGTGAATATATATGGAGACTTGTGCAATGAAATTATTAGAGAGTAGTTAATTGTTCCATCATAAAACGGATAACATAAAGAAATGCATCAAAGAAATTTGGGAAATGTTCATTCCTAAAGGGCTGTAACAACCTGCCCTAAATAGAAATGTACATTAAAAAATTTTGATTAATATAATCTACATATAGTACTCTAAATTATTATACCCACTCTGCTCTGGCATGGTTTACTTTTCACGGTTTTCATTGTTAGCAACAGGCTGATAGGGTGATCACCGGTGTCTAATCATCGTTTTTTTCATCACGAGAATCATGTCCAAACTCTATGGCACATGATCTGAAATTTGTGTTGGAATATATAGCAACCTGTAGCAGATGTCTGCATTTTTTTTTTTTCTGTTCAAGTTGCGTAATCTAATTATATAAATAGATGTCAACAAAGATTCAATTCTCTCATCAGCCATGATTGAAGAGTATAATCATGTGGAGAAGAAAGGAACCTTCCCCTTTAATCCACGGATGAATTCTCTTTAGTTCCTAATTCTAGGCCATTGAAGCATCTAATGTACGAGATGGTTAGTAATTTATTCATCATAATGCTATTCACAGTAATTATTCTGATGTAGGAGAAGATATGAACGCAAATATTCCAGATATAAAGCATAAGTAAATCCCATTTGGCTTAATCATCCAACCATATTTCTACATCTTTTTAGTTCATCCGAAGGTGTTAATGGAAAATGTAGGCAATTATTCTAGAAAAAACTGTATGTAGAACATCTGTACTACAGCATCGATCATTTGTTAATGGGATTGTATGCTTAAGGATAAGATTTTGAAGCATCTATTCCAAAGTAAAACATTTGCTCCCAAAACCATATACCAATCCAACGTATTGAAATTTATGTTTCTTGATTCGCTGTCATAAATTCCACATTTACTCCATGTAACTAATATCTGCACATACAATAGAACTATTTGCTTAATGAGAAACAAACATAAAGGGGGCAGATTTGATTGCCTAGTAAAGAAACAGTGCCTGCTGTGTCACATGTTTTTATGAAAATGTGGTCCATTTCCTCATGCATATGCAGTTATAAAAACTTTTGTCATGTGGTGGTGCCATTATTTGAAGATAGAGTTGTGTAAGGGAATTGTAGATTAATAAATAAGTTAGATTCTTTTGTCCCTTTCGTTCTTCTTTCTGTTGGAGTTTAGTACTCAACCAAATATTCATTTGCTATCTTCCTTAGTGTTTTTTCCTTCCATTTTATTGCTCTTTTGAGCTATGCGCAGCTGCAAATGGGGTTTCTATCTCTTTCAAAGTGCATTAGCCGATAGCATTAGGTGACTGAGTGAGCAAGGCAGTGTTTAGGGTTTTATCTTTAACCTCCCTGCATGTTCTTCAAAGACAAGTTTAGTTCCTTAAGGTAGGAAAAAGGAGAAAAATACTATACTGGTAGGTTCATGATTCAAGGTCACTGATATTTTCCATTTATATCTGTTCAAAACAAAAATTGCAGCAAAAATATTAGTCTCAGGTCAATAACAAGAAAACCCAAGTACTATTTCACCCCTTTAATTAATTTTCATTAGTTTGAAACCTTTCACTAACATTATCAGACAGAAGAAAGCATATAAGAGTTAACTGAAGAAAAAGTTGCTGGAATCATTTCTATCCTCAGGAGAAATTGTCCATACACCATGCTCTCAAGTCTCAACCCATCCATATTTCTAAGAGTTTCTGATGCATAATTCGACCTGAGAATTTTCCCTCGTATTGAAGCAATCTATAGTTTGCTACTAGTTTGTTTATGAGACGTGGGGGCAGTCTGTCCCACAACTTTATTTCCTGTCCTCTTCCAACTATAAGAATTTGAACACATCCCATGCATTTCAATTCGATATATGCTAAAGGGGATGATTTTGGGACCAATTTTAGGGACCTCCTCAATCAAAGGCAGCGCCCCCCCTGGGCCACAAAATCTTTAACAGAGACCTTATTTGTAGTACCTGCCAATTTGCTACTAGCATGAATGAAACCAGCAACTCTACTCGCTACTTTGCCTTAATGATTGTGGTCCAACTGCTGCAACTAGGCGTGCTTGTTTTTGGCCACGTCTTCTTCTTAGACCACCATTGAATCTCCAACTTTCAATTTCTAACATATAATTCCAAAAAATTACAGTTGCTTTGCCCCAAAATGAAGAATTTGCTTAGCTGGAACAATTTAAGAGAGTAGGAAATGTGGTTGCCGCGGTGCATATTAATTAATTATTTAAACCCTAGGCCTAGTATATATCAACAACCTTTTCCCCTGCTAGATGCAACTCTTAGCCAACAGTAGTTGTTACACATTGATGTCATTTTCCTCTTATGTATATAAAAAGTTGCGACTAAGTTGTCAAGTGGATACAAGTTCCTGTATCATTTATTTGGCTTCAATTCCGAAAGATTTCTTAACATGAGTAATGCTATTAGTCCAACCCCATTATTACAATTGTTTCTAAGTTATTCCATATAATTGAAGACAACATTTTGACTTTTAACTTTGAAACTTTTACTCAGAATCTCCATCTCTTGAATTCAACCTGCAGTTTTGACCAAGTGAAACCAGAGAGATCATCACTTGGATCTAGAGACTTTTTAACAAATACTATAAATGATTTGGGTACAGTAGAATTATGATGCCAAATGGCGGAATGATGCCAGAAGATATGTTAAAACACGCGTGTAATTAACTAAGCAGTAACCACATGAGGTTTTCATTTCACAAAGAGAACTGGGGTTTTGCCGGCCTGGACCTTGGATCTACTTAAGTATAATCTTGTTTGATATCTTCGGTAAGTGTGTTCCCTAATAGCTCTGCTATGCTAGCCCCCCTATACACTCAAGACTGAAGAGGAGTAGACTAATGAAAACGTTGCTGTTCTGGGTCCTTCCAGGGATTGCCAGGTTTGAGGGGCAGCAAGCAGTGCAGCATTGCAGGAAGTGGGGTTGGAGTAGAGTGGTCCCTTACTCAGCGTTTTTTACACAACTTACTGTGAATGGGAAACAAT